TTTGTTCCAAGGTTTTTCTTCCTTTTTTTGTATTTTTACATGTGGGTTAGAGCTTTACTTTTCATATTAACCACTACAGACTTAGTGTTTGTTGCAATAATGTAGAAAAATTTCTGAATGAGAAGTAATGTCTTGACAGTGCATGAGATGTATTTGACCAGTTTTGTTATATATCTGACAGTGATGTAATAGAAACCAGTCAGTTACATTTCTTGCCCTGTGTATGTATTAATTCTCATTTTCATCTTTTTCTATTATCATTTATATTTGTTATTGATATTATCATCATTACCGTTATTTTTCTTCTGTCTTCTATACAATTCATTAAAAAGTATTGTCTCTCTTTCAGGCTTTGTCGTGACACAAGTTGCAACCTCGTGTGGCTCAGATGGCCATAGTTTAGCTGTAACGGACAGTGGAGAGGTTTTCTCGTGGGGGGATGGAGATTATGGCAAGTTGGGCCATGGGAACTCTGACCGTCAACGGAGACCGAGGCAGATTGAGGCGTTCCAGGGACAGGAGGTCGTTCAGCTGGCTTGCGGATTCAAGCACACGGCAGTAGTGACATCAGATGGCAAACTGTTCACTTTTGGGAATGGGGATTATGGAAGACTTGGTCTGGGTTCGACTGCAAACAAGAAGCTGCCCGAGAGAGTCACGGCCCTGGATGGCTGGCGGATTGGTCAAGTGGCTTGCGGACTGAATCACACTGTTTGTATTGACATTGACGGAAACACTGTTTGGGCTTTTGGAGATGGTGACTATGGAAAATTAGGCTTAGGAAATTCCACTTCGAAGTCTACACCACAGAAAGTAGAAGCTATGTGTGGTATTGGCATAAAAAAGGTTTGTTGTGGCACTCAGTTTACAGTGTTTCTCACTAAAGATGGCCGCGTTTATACATGTGGAATGGATCGGCTCATCGGCCAGCCAGAATCACGGACAAGAGGACACAATCGGCCTCAGCAAGTTCCTGCTCTTGTAACTCATGTAGTGGTTGAAATAGCAGTTGGATCTGAACACACATTAGCTCTTGCTAATAATGGAGATGTGTATGGCTGGGGAGTAAACAGCGACGGACAGTTGGGACTTGGGCACACTGCAGCAGTGCGAGAACCCCAGCTCATCTGGACGCTGTCAGGGAAGGGGATCCGTCAGATCAGTGCCGGTCGCAGCCACAGTGCAGCCTGGTCAGCCCTGCCACTTCCTCCAGTGACCCCAGGGACCCCAGCTCCCATGCAGCTTGGGATTCCCGTGTCAGTGCCACCACAGTACCCAAACTTGCAGAACATTCCCCCAGGTGCTCTCTGCTCAAGGCTGAGGATGCTCCATCAGTTCAGTGATCTGCTCTATGCATCATGGAAGCTCATACCCCTGACACCTGGGCTGGAATGCTACATAGAAAATGTGAGCGCAGTAACCTGTGCGGCTGTGCGTTCACTTGTGTCACCCAGAGTCTACACCCTTCCTTTGGTCCGTTGCCTTGGGCGAACTATGGTCCAGGGACGAAATTACGGACCCCAAGTTACAGTCAAAAGAATATCGACGAGAGGAGCTCCGTGTAAGCCTATTTTCATACAGCTGGCTCGGCAAGTAGTGAAACTCAAGCCATCAGACCTGAGACTTCCCTCCAGAGCTTGGAAGGTAATTTCCCTTTTATGAAATAAGTTGAAGGATGAATTTTTAGTTGTAGCTTGTTCTGATTGGTCTTGAAATTAAATGTTCAGTAGTAGTTCCAAGTGCACAATGTAAACTATATATATATATTTTTTTCTTACACAGGTAAAACTTGTTGGCGAAGGAGCAGATGATGCAGGTGGTGTGTTCGATGACACAATGACAGAAATGTGTCATGAACTGGTGACAGGTGGAGTTCCTCTTCTCATACCAACACCCAATGCAGTCTCAGATGCTGGAAACAACAGGGACCGTTTCCTCCTTAACCCCGACTTGACACAACATCACCACCTTCTCTGGTTCAAATTCTTAGGTATGTAGAAGACTTTACTTGAAAGAAATTGATTTGAATTTAATGAGTGAGATGTATTTACTGTTATTAACGTGCAACAGACTGATAGTAAATGATACATTAAGCCATTTCCATTTATTTCCTTTATTTGGTATAAATGCCTGGAATGTCAAATTAATTACACTGATTTTCCTCCAGGTATATTATTTGGCATTGCCATTCGGACCAAGAAACCCCTCGCTCTCCCCCTGGCCCCGCTGGTGTGGAAGCTGCTGGCTGGGGTGCCTCCCTCCTCATCTGATCTGGAGGAGGTGAGTTGTATAACAGGCAGTAAAGAACACGACAAAGGTCTTCTCAGGTGTCTCCTCTTTTTTAACAAAAAAGGGAAAGAGAAAAAGCCGTGTGGTATTACAACTGTCCGTTTCATTGTAATGCAAATGTTTGTTAATATTTCCCGGCAATATGACACTTTTAATTGGATTTAAATATATATGTGAAATTTAGTTTGGTGTTGCTCTCTTTAATTTGTGTATTTTTAACCATGGAAAATGGGAAGGGAGATTATTGTTAATATTTTATAACACACACCTAAGTGATTCCTTTCCTTTGTAACACATGCATATCATACTGAAGGTAACATGAATGACTTTTCCATTGTCTTGAAATGAGAATTAGCTTGATAAATATTCTGTACTTGCAGGTTGATATTGAATATATGCAGAGCTTGCGAGCCATCAGAGATATTGACCAGGATGGGGTTACGGAAGACACTTTCCATGATGTAAGTGTATTTGGATTTATCATCATCACCATTATTGCAATCACTGTTAGTCAATGGATATCTTGAAAATGAAAGTACCATTTTCTCTTTCTTCCTCTGCTATGGGAGAATAAAAATCCTCTGATTTTTTTATCCTGAGATCCTGTTGTTATACTTTGAGGTCATCTTTGTAAAGATAGATATCTTGAAAATGAAAATACCATTTTCTTTTTCTTCCTCTGCTATGGGGGAAAAAATCCTCTGCTCTGTTGTTGTTTTTTTCTGAGCTCCTGTTGGTATACTTTGAGGTCATCTTTGTAATGATAGTAATGATAAAAAAAATTTCCAGGTGATACCCCTTGAGAGTTTCGAGTGTACGAGCATGACTGGAGCTCGGGTGGCAGTGGTTCCTGGAGGAAGAGCGGTTCCTCTGACATTTACTAACAGACAAGAATATGTCAACCGAACAATCTACTACAGGCTGCACCAGATGGATAGACAGGTGTTGTGCTGATTTGAGAGAATTCATGAAAAATATTTTTCTTTTTTCTTTTTTAAGTTCATCATCATTATCTTTTTTCATTTTCTTTTTCTTTTTTCTTTTTCTTTTTTAAGTTCATCATCATTATCTTTTTTCATTTTCTTTTTCTTCCTCTGCTATGGGGGAAAAAAATCCTCTGCTCTGTTGTTGTTTTTTTCTGAGCTCCTGTTGGTATACTTTGAGGTCATCTTTGTAATGATAGTAATGATAAAAAAAATTTCCAGGTGATACCCCTTGAGAGTTTTGAGTGTACGAGCATGACTGGAGCTCGGGTGGCAGTGGTTCCTGGAGGAAGAGCGGTTCCTCTGACATTTACTAACAGACAAGAATATGTCAACCGAACAATCTACTACAGGCTGCACCAGATGGATAGACAGGTGTTGTGCTGATTTGAGAGAATTCATGAAAAATATTTTTCTTTTTTCTTTTTTAAGTTCATCATCATTATCTTTTTTCATTTTCTTTTTCTTCCTCTGCTATGGGGGAAAAAAATCCTCTGCTCTGTTGTTGTTTTTTTCTGAGCTCCTGTTGGTATACTTTGAGGTCATCTTTGTAATCTTTCTTCTTCCTTTTTCTTCTTCTTCTTTATAGCCCTTAACACCATGTACCCTGTAAGCATGTCACAATGATTTTCATCCTCTGTCAAAAGGATATCCCCTTTATACTGGGTAAAGACATTGAAAAAAGTGTGATGTTCATTATTGTGGGTTGTCCACAAATTATTAAACTTTTTATTATTTTATGCACCTTTTCCCCATAATATTTAGTATTCTGAATGGTTTTGTACAAAGCCTGGCTGCATTGTCCTCAACAGGTTGCAGCTGTGCGTGAGGGCATGGCCTGGATCATCCCTGTGCCACTGCTCTCTCTGATGACAGCGGCTCATCTTGAACAGCTAGTCTGTGGCCTTCCACACATTTCTGTGGCCACACTTAAAAAAGTTGTGAGGTAAATTTCTGTCTGCACAGTGTTGGCAAATGTGATGTTACAAGTTCTTAACAAAATGGGCACATATGGTTATTATATGGAACAGCCCCTTTTTGTTGTTATCATTATTATGTGATGGTTGGAGAATGAAAGTTAATTGTTCTTAAAATTCTTGGCCTTTAATTCTGGTACTCTTGAATATTTCATTTTAATCTTCCAATGCCTTGCTTAGGTGGTTGAGACTTTCATATATGACATTTGAAATAGAAATACACCTGCTATGCTTGTTTTTTTCCCCGACAAGGTATCGTGAGGTGGACGAGAATGACCCGCTTGTGGTATGGCTCTGGCACATCCTGGAGTCGTTCAGCCCCTGTGAACGGGTTCTCTTTGTCCGCTTTGTGTCTGGGCGCTCGCGACTGCCGGCTAATTTGGCTGATCTATCGCAGCGGTTTCAGGTGGGGTCTTGTTTGCCATTTTGTTTATTTATTAGTACCTATTTTTTTCTAATTTTATTATTCAGATTTGCTCTTGATCAATACTTTTTTTTTATTTCTGGAGCACAATTTTTAAGATTTAGAGTATTATTAGTATTTAAGAAGAAATTATTGACTCTGAGGACAGTCAGTTATTTGCATTGTACGAAAATGCAAATGTAGACTTCAAAGTTTTAAGATGTGAAAGATAGAAAGGGGATTTAGTTTCAGAAGGAATACACCTGATGAGAGAAAGTTTGGATAAAGGGAACTGGCCTTTGTATTGATCTACGATTTGTTATTGTACATTGGTATAGGCAGGGCCTCTGTTTACCTTTCATAGCAGGAAGATATGATGTATCTTTTTATTTAAAATGTGTCTTATACATGCTGGATTATAAGTGATACTTGTGTTTATTTCTCATTCTTACACCAGACCTCCCTGTTAAATGTGAACTAGATGTATGCTGGCATGATTTGTATTCTGATGCTAAGAACTCACTGACTCTTTTATTATGCTTGATAGTAAAAGGATATAGATGAAATTAGTCAAATACACATGCCATGAAATATGAAATGCACAATTTGCTCATTTCAAAGTTTTCTTTGGAGCTAAACAGGATAACCATGATGGATATTACAGGTTATGCGTGTGGACCGGCCTATCGACTCCCTGCCTACTGCTCAGACCTGCTTTTTCCAGCTACGACTCCCACCCTACTCCAGCCAGGAGGTGATGGCAGAAAAAATGCGCTATGCTATCAACAACTGTCGCTCAATTGATATGGATAACTACATGTTAGCCAGAAATCAAGACCCTAACCATCATTCTGATGATGATGAGTTTTAGGCAATAGATAATGATATGGAGACAATCATATATCATGGAGAAAAAATAGAGTGATTGACAAACATGAGTCTGTATAATAATGATGTGATATTTTCATATGTCACATATCAGAGCTTATTTTATTATAGATCAGATTCAAAGACCCTTTCAAATAATCAGCCATGAAAGAAAGTGCATTCCATTACATATATTTATGATAATATTTATGAAAACCTCTCAATGTTTTTTAAATATGGCAGTGCTCATTCCTCTCAGAATACAACACCTTTCATCATGTCTTTCATTATTAAAAGCCATATGTTAATGTTTATTACACTCATGTAGGATAAATGTCGACTCATTCTCGGACACATTTATTCTTTATAGAGTGAATATTCAAGAAAGGACAATTACAGCTTTGGGTGTAAAATCAGTATATAGCAGCAAGTCTTAAGTATCCTTTTGCTTTTGTGTGGACAAGTAATGAGTCAATGGAGGCTGATTTTTTTTTTTCTCATCTTTAGGAAATCTCATAAATTGCTGTAGTTTTTGTATATTTAAAAAAAGATCAATCATTTTTGTGAATAAAAAAAAAAGAGTGATAATGGTGAAGCCAGCAATTGGAACATAATTTGAGCTGTGACATGTCATATTTTGACAAGTTCTTGTTTTTGTTTTTGTTTGTGGAGTGATAGTAAAGATCACATTTTACTGAAGTTAATGGATCAAGGAGCCACAGTGTGAAGTCTTGTACAATTCATGGTTTTAGGCTTTATGATATTCCTGAGGCACGAATCTTTTATTGTTATGTATTTGACACCTGAAAGGAAATTGGAGAACCTGTATCAAGTTTATTTCAGGTTTTATGCAGCGATGTTTCTGTTCGTTAACTTGGTTTGGTAAGTCTCGTGGTAATTTTATGAAACTGAAAGTAATCTACCTAGTCTTTTAGTCACAAAATTTTATGTATGTAAAACACTACTTCCCGTAAAACAAAGTCTCTCAAATGCTTATGTTATTGGTGGTTAAAGGAGCCAGGGCAGTTACCGATTGCCGCAAGCACTATATGTGAAGCAGTCTGCATAATGTACAGAGAAGTTTACCAATAGAGAGAGAGAGAGAGAGAGAGAGAGAGAGAGAGAGAGAGAGAGAGAGAGAGAGAGAGAGAGAGAGAGAGAGAGAGAGAGAGAGAGAGAGAGAGAGAGAGGAAATCATGAACGGGAGTGAATTCTAGATTGCAGGATCTTTTTATTCAATTTTATCATAGGTGAAACTTGTGGAGGAGCTTCTCAGTAGTCTCGTCTGTGTTGTGTATTAGTGTGGTGCTGAAGTTACGGTTTTGTATTTTGATGTGTGTGTTTTTTTATGAGTGGCTTTATTATGAACATGAATAGCTTGAGTAAGATTGTGTGAACCTTGTGATCTGGCAGCACCTATATTTTAGCTATTGTAAACATTGAAAGAATGTGGAAAGTGTTACTGAATAAAAAAAACTGTGTAGTTAAGTTTGCATTCAGTCTGTAGTGGATTACAGCATTAGTCTTTGAATATCTGCAGTACATGATAAAGAATGCTGTGGGTTTTTTTTCATTTATTTTTTCTAGGAAGAATTATTTTAATTTCCTTTTTGATGAAATGTGATAAATGTCTTTTTTTTTTTTGTAAGTGTGTTGGGGGGAGAGTGTACATAGCAACTGATTTTGACCAAACTGCAGTGATGATGTTATGAAAAAGAAAAAAAAGCCTCTCTTTTGCGAGACACCAATTGATGAGCTTTGTGATTCAGGTTTTCAATCTGAGTATGAGCTTCTGGATGTTGCTTTTTCATTTTTCTTTGGCGATATTTCCTTCAATGTGTGTCTTGTGATGAAGAAGAAACATTATGCAAACAAAGAGACAAACCTCTTTCACTTGAGGGTGTGAAACAAGGTGAAACGATGGCCAAGTGCTGTTAAGAAATGACATTTTTTTTAGAGCTGGTTTGCTTTTGGAGCCTTTTTAAAAAAGATATGGTGAGGAAATACAATCCTTTTTAATATCACACATTGCTTTCCCTTTGATTTGGTTCAGAAAAAAAAGCGATCTCACACGTATTCTTTCATGGAACACAACAAACTGCCTTGCTTCTTGTGAGGTCTTTCAGTCAGTCTTGAGGTGTAGTAGTGGCATTGTATTTTTAAACAGTGGTCTGTCCTTTTTCAGATGAGTATCATTTTATCAATATATTGCTCAGGAATTATTGCCTTCGTTACAAGAAAGACTTTGTTTCCCCCAACTTTGATATATCGTTTTAGGGTCTTCAGCGATGGCCTACTGTTGATCAAATGTGATTTAATTTATTTGTTTGCCTTTGGAGGAGTCTAGATTCTAGGTTATAGGCGAAGAGGTGATCATTTCTGTACTATACTATTTTTTTTCTTTTTATCGAAGCAAAGTTGTATTTGAGACATTGGTGATGATTAGCCGAGTCATCACTAACCTGTCAAGTGCATCTTCACCCCAATAAAAAGAAAAAGGGTATAGTTTTAGTTGTTTCAGCTTTGAAACTATGTATTTGATTTATTATCATGTGTATTTGTTAAGCTCTCATTTATTTCATGATGTTTTCTCCTGAACGATAAACATTTTCTGTTCTATTTATATCATCAGTTCATTTTACACTAACTTTAAGTAGGATCATTGTGGACAAGGTTAATATGTTATTATTATTTTTTTTTTCAAATTATTCAGTATGCAGGAAGTAAGAAAACTTCAATATACTTGCTAGTCATGAGAGACACATTCACAATCACTTAATGACTGTTGTGCCAAAATTATTTGGATTCGCGTGGACAGTTACGGAAAAGGGTGATGGAGGCCTTTCCACTCGGGGGCCTTCCGTGTCTTGTTACTCCTCTTCCTAACTGTATCGAGGGGTATTTGAATAAGAAATATTGAAAAGAGGTTCTTTATATGTCTAGGACATCAGTCATGAAATAGGAAGAGTGGATGGGTTCCTTGAAAACTTCTTTTTTTTTCAAATGTTTCTTGCCATTTTGCTTTTTTGCTCACTATACATTGTTGAATCACATGTTATTTGTTTTGTTTATGTAATTCTGTTTGGATTATCACGACGAAAGTAAAAAGACAATTGTACTGTATTTGTATGCAGGTTGAATAAGAAAAAAAAGTGATGGATTGAAGTAGTTTCATTTATCCTAAAACTAAAAACAAGAAGTTCTATTATTTGTATTATGAGTTCCATTGTAATTTATATTTAGATCATCAGTGTTTATTTTTTTGCAACAGTTCATTATTGTGATAAAAATTATGCATAGTACATCTATACATTTGCTCAATGTTAGTGCTCACATAATCTCTCTGTTCACATGGCATGTAAGTATACATGTGGTTTATTCAAAGGAAAATAATAAGTTTATATGATAAATCAATTTTATTCCAAAAATTCAAAAAGAATATTAGTAAACATATCTTACCTAATACAGTGTAGATTACAGGGCAAAAATACATTATAAGGAAGCTGACTTAATTGGTTTGGTCAGACTGCAATGCCAATCGACCTCCCCGCTATATTCCCTATAGAATCAGTTCAGAGCTGATGAATAGTGTAAATGAATTACCTACTGTATCTAGCAATGAATGGAAAATACACGAAACAGATATACACTGGCGAATGGAGGTTAATCTGCCAGAAAAGAGCAAGCCTTTTTGCCACCTTTCCGGGGTGTTCCTTTGTTAAGCCGAGGTCGCCTTCGCCTTGTCAGCCCGAAACCTACAAGTCGGGAAGCGTTCTTTGTCAAAATCCTACAATTTTCTCGCGGGGAATATTGGTATATAGTCCATGACTGCCTCAGAAGTTTATTAATACTATTAGCCAGCTATAACACCAAGGCATTCGTAGTTAGCATAGATACTGCAAGCCTTGCAGAGTGTTTCTGCAATGTAACCAATATATGCGGGGAACATAGGGCGTCCGGGGTAAGGTCCTGAGATGGCTCAGGGCTCAGGACCGAGTCTGCCTGGTGGGGCTCGGGCTTTAGAAACTAAGTCTTATTCCATACGTCATTTCAGAAACGAAGATAATCTAAACACACTGTTAATTTTAGAAGTCACCGATGAACCTAGGTTCTTGAATGACCAGTTTATTGTCAGCATCCAGTTAACTTTCTTTTTCCAAATATTAGTTGGACAGTTTTCTACTCACAGAGTAAATTAGTGTCATCATTCTTACAGTACAAATCATAAAAAACGAGGAAAGTACTTGAGCAACCAAAATAAAACTAATCGTAAAACGGTGTCACTTTGCACCGTATACAAATTGACACATTCACACCACAATGGAGCTACACAGTGACAATACAAGCATTCATTTTTTTCAGGATTTATAAAACAGTGAGGTATAAAACTTGTTAGGCGCTGACGAAGGACACAAGGACATATAACGTGCATTTTCTTCTGCGATCATTTGACCGGACGATTTCTGTGATTAGTTTCCTTTCTGGATCTCCTTGAGCGCCTGCCACATGCAGAAGGCGAACATCATGGCGAAGCACTGAAAGGGTGATACAGTTATATTAAGAGCAAGATCACGGGTCAGATTTTACATCAGATACCTTTGTTGTCTCCTGGACATCATGGTAAGTTCCGTGTACTCCTATAGCCTAAGGATATATAATTTTGAACCTTGAAATTCGTATGAGAACTATATAAGGATTTTATACTGTGACAATGATATTATCAATTAATTACCTCATATTTGTCATTTTAACTTCGAACAGTGAGAAAGTGAGATGAGGGGGGGGGGGTATTGCCTTGCTGCTCTCCTTATCAGTAGATTTGTAACAGGGGCGTCCTATATTACTTGCTCTAGATTATACGCGGTGTAAACTGGTAAACAGCGGAAACAGCCTATCGCGTATTCCTTCAGGCCCGCACATTTGCTCATCTCAATGGGGTGTCCCTTTGACAGGAGCTAATGTAATTCTTGTGGTGTGAGTGGGATCCTTGTCCCAGAGCCAATACAAAAAGGGGTGTTTGGAGCAGGTATGATCGAGAATGGATGATGCAACACGATGTAAGATGTAACACACATTTTGTTATTTATTTTCACCAAAATCACGAAATTGTAACGAAGACGTTAATATCAAAACGCCAGTTACCTTTTTTGCATTATATGTTATGAATGTTATAGAGGAAACCCACATCTGTCAAGAAAGTGGTATATATATATATATCTATATATATATATATAGAGAGAGAGATTAAGCATTGTGATACATAATAATTGGAAGGCTGTTAAAACACAATCAAAACAATCCTTGATCACTATATGTTATGAATGTTATAGAGGAAACCCACATCTGTCAAGAAAGTGGTATATATATATATATATAGAGAGAGAGATTAAGCATTGTGATACATAATAATTGGAAGGCTGTTAAAACACAATCAAAACAATCCTTGATCACTATATGTTATGAATGTTATAGAGGAAACCCACATCTGTCAAGAAAGTGGTATATATATATATATATATATATATATATATATATATATATATATATATATATATATATATATATAGAGAGAGAGATTGAGCATTGTGATACATAATAATTGGAAGGCTGTTAAAACACAATCAAAACAATCCTTGATCACTATATGTTATGAATGTTATAGAGGAAACCCACATCTGTCAAGAAAGTGGTATATATATATATATAGAGAGAGAGATTAAGCATTGTGATACATAATAATTGGAAGGCTGTTAAAACACAATCAAAACAATCCTTGATCACTATATGTTATGAATGTTATAGAGGAAACCCACATCTGTCAAGAAAGTGGTATATATATATATATAGAGAGAGAGATTAAGCATTGTGATACATAATAATTGGAAGGCTGTTAAAACACAATCAAAACAATCCTTGATCACTATATGTTATGAATGTTATAGAGGAAACCCACATCTGTCAAGAAAGTGGTATATATATATATATATATATATAGATTGAGCATTGTGATACATAATAATTGGAAGGCTGTTAAAACACAATCAAAACAATCCTTGATCACTATATGTTATGAATGTTATAGAGGAAACCCACATCTGTCAGAAAGTGGTATATATATATATATATATATAGAGAGAGAGATTAAGCATTGTGATACATAATAATTGGAAGGCTGTTAAAACACAATCAAAACAATCCTTGATCACTATATGTTATGAATGTTATAGAGGAAACCCACATCTGTCAAGAAAGTGGTATATATATATATATAGAGAGAGAGATTAAGCATTGTGATACATAATAATTGGAAGGCTGTTAAAACACAATCAAAACAATCCTTGATCACTATATGTTATGAATGTTATAGAGGAAACCCACATCTGTCAAGAAAGTGGTATATATATATATATCTATATATATATATATAGAGAGAGAGATTAAGCATTGTGATACATAATAATTGGAAGGCTGTTAAAACACAATCAAAACAATCCTTGATCACTATATGTTATGAATGTTATAGAGGAAACCCACATCTGTCAAGAAAGTGGTATATATATATATATAGAGAGAGAGATTAAGCATTGTGATACATAATAATTGGAAGGCTGTTAAAACACAATCAAAACAATCCTTGATCACTATATGTTATGAATGTTATAGAGGAAACCCACATCTGTCAAGAAAGTGGTATATATATATATATAGAGAGAGAGATTAAGCATTGTGATACATAATAATTGGAAGGCTGTTAAAACACAATCAAAACAATCCTTGATCACTATATGTTATGAATGTTATAGAGGAAACCCACATCTGTCAAGAAAGTGGTATATATATATATATCTATATATATATATATAGATATATATATATATATCTATATATATATATATCTATATATATATATATATCTATATATATATATATAGAGAGAGAGATTAAGCATTGTGATACATAATAATTGGAAGGCTGTTAAAA